TTTCAAAATCATCGGAATCATCCACTGACGGGCTTTCCAAATAGCATTGCAGCTCAGAACTGCTTACACTTGTATGTTGAGATATTCTTCTACTTTTATTGCTAAAAAAACACTTAATCTCCTGCCTCGAGATGAGACTGCTAGTGTAGTGTGTGTAGGTGTATTTACAGATACAGCTGCCCTGCATTCTTCAAATAATCTATTGCATGTTTGCATAATAGGGGTAAACTGTGTTTGATCAACGAAAGACGCTCTAAAACTTGTAAACCAATTTCTTTACCCCTATGATCAATTATTATGGCTAAACCTAATAGATGAGGCAAATGATAAAAATATTTATCAAATTTTGTTTTCATTGAAGTTAATAATAATTACATAATATTCATTACTCATATATTTTACGAAAACTTTAATTATTTCTGCTAGCATATGTAAAACAAATGGTGAAGTAAATATATATATATATAAGAAAATAATTTTGTTGAAGTATCGAAAAATTTTAAAAAATCTTTATACAAGGCTGCTTGGCGCCAAATAAGTTCTGTGAGAGTCAGTACTCCTCCTATTGATATTGTTGCAAAAAAATAAATCTATTGCTCTTCTTTGTTTACAAGCTACTTTTAATATATTATATGTTGAATTTCACCTACTATCTACATCTAAAATTAATTTTCTAAATGGCATATTTTATCGTTGACAAATTTTTTCCGAAATTCGATCAGTAGAATACATAATAGTAACAACTGTATTTTTTATTATAAGTACAAAAGTCTCGTAAGCATGCATCGCTTCTTTAACAATCAAATTTAAAATATGGACACAACAACGAACATGAAATTAGTCGCCATCAACAAGTAATTGTAAAATTGATTTTAAATAGGTTACAGTTTGATTATAATATACTGCATTATCTAAACTAATCGTAAATATTTTATTTTGTAAAGCTCACTCATATAATACATTTCTTATTTCTACACCAAGCGAATGATCAGTGTATGAAAGTTCAACTAATTTAAATGAAATAATTCTTTTATTTAATTTCCAATCATTATCAATAAAATGTGCAGTAATACATTGATATTCAAAACCATTATCTGACCACAGATCAGATGTTAAACAAACTCTTCAATTCAAAATTTTAAAGATATCAAATAATTCATTTTTAATATCATCAAATTTCTTTAAAATCTTGTTTCTAGTAGTATTTCTTGAAAAACTTTAATATTGCGGTGCAAAACTTTCATGAATCATTTCGATAAAATCGGGGCATTCACTCGTAGTAAAAGGTTGTTTTTCTTTAATAATATAATCAACTACATAATTTTGTGCACGTATAAAATCATATTAAAATGTTTGCAAATTACCAATTGATAAAGCCCCTAATTGTATTTGACTTCGAATATTAAGTTGTTGACTTTGCAAATATTTGTTAGCATGCCTTTTTAGATAACTAGTATCCCCTGCAGATGCAACACTAAGTAAATGTGTACAATATTTACATTTTGCTTTAAATGTAATTGTACCATCAAGATTATTTATTGATATTTTTTCAAAATGTTCCCAAACACTACTACTTCTGCTCCTGATGATGATCCAACTGTTGGAAAAGGGATATTAGAAGGAGAATCAATAGATTCATATTGTGTAGTATATGTATCAACATCGACATAAACATTAGGAATATTAGGATCCATAGTAATGTAAGTAAAATAATATATAAGAATTAACAATTAATTTAAATAATGTGTAAATACAATGAGTATAAAATAATAATTAATATATGTGCACAAATAATTATTGAAAAAAATGAGTAGCTAATAAATTTGATTAAACTAATTAATGTTACCAACTGGCGAATGCAATACAGAAATTAGTTTCTTCTAATAAAAGTTTCTTATTACACAATTGCAATTGTTACTTAGGGATGACACTTCAAAATTAATTGAGAGTTGAGAGAGATTAAGAGTTTAAGAGAGAGAGACAGAGAAAGAGAGTGAGGGAATTATTTATGAGATTTATTTTGAAAAATGAAAGATATTTATAGTAGTTTGAAAGAGTGAAATAAATTTACAAATATATATATATATATATATTGCAATTACTTAATTGTATTTATCCTTATGAAATTGGGGTGAAAGAAGCCAATTGGAGTTAAGAACTCAAGTAGGCCTAGAAGTCCTAATCCAAGCCTCAAAAGGATGGGATGTGTGAGGTGTATCCAAAGTTCGGTGTGGCGTCAGTTTGTGGTAGATGGAGAGATATTGCACACCAATCAACCATTTGAATTTTTTTTTATTTATATATATATTTTAATTCATTCATTGTAAGAGCATCTACAATGGAGTGGCTAAAAAATAGTGTTATATGACAAAAGGTAATAAAAATGGGGCCTAAAAATGTGTGTTAAGGTGTGTTAAGAGTTTGTTAATTTTACAGAGTGAGTAGTGGTGTAATAGATATGTTAAGGTATGTGTTAAGTGATGTATAAATGTATTAAAATAATAATATTAATAACTTTTGTTTTTATTTTTTCTAATTATTTAACCGTTGCAAGTTATTTTTTATTTTTATTTTTTGAAATTTGACCATTGGTAGAAAGAGGGCCAGGTTGGGCCACCCACAGGGCTCAAAATTTTTTGGGTCGAGCCAACAGACCGGGCCAAAAATGGAAGGCCCAGGCCCAAGGTACTGGGCTAGGCTTGGGCCGGGGCCTAACCAGAATGAACGAGCCGAGCCTACCTCAAGCCGCCCACGGGCCTCTGGCCATTTTTACACCCTTACCCATTACATGATCATCATTTAAACACATAACAAAAATTAATTTGATAAAAAAATAAATAAATGCATAAATGGGTAGAAATAATTTTTAAAAATTCAAAAATATTTTTTTGACATTTATTTTTATCAAATTAGTTTTTATTTTATCAAATTGACGACTTTGCCCTTGAAATTGAGCAATTATATCTTCAATTGTCCATATTTGAAACAATATTCAAAATTCAAGATCAAATATATCACAATTGAAAAGTTAGAGATCAAAATGACACGAGCCCAAACTATAGGGACTGTTAGCGTAATTCACCCTGAACTTTAATATTTTAATTTGTTTTCGATCTAAGTCATTCACTTAATTTTATAATGGGAGTTTTTTTTTAAGGTCCATAGTATTAAGATTTTATAGCATAAAGGACATCTAATATTTTTATAATGTTTAAGGTCCCTCAAATCAAAGCAGAGAAAATTCAACCCAAACCAGAGAAATTCTCTGGTCCAAACTAGAGAAAATTCAATCCAGAGAAATTCTCTGGTCCAAACCATTGCAAGGTGTATGTTCTTAAATCTGTTGTTCCAAACCATTGCAAGGTGTATGTTCTTAAATCTGTTGTTTAATCAACAGTTGAGGTTAATTTATTCAAATTGTTGTTGTTGTTGAACGCAAAGAAAATGGTAAACAAATCAGAGAGAATTATAAATAAATCAGAGAGAATTTCTCTGGTTTGAAGAGAATTTCTCTAGTTTGGACCACAGAAATTCAAAGCTAGATGGTTATTGTTGTTGAAGGCAGATAAAATGATAAAGAATTTCTTTGTGCATCTGCAAAGCTGTGTCCTCATGGGAAGCCACTGCATTTCTCTCATCTTTGGATTTTTGATTTCTAAATTCTTACACTAACAAACACATTGCAGATACATCCATTGGAACGAAAAAATTCCTTTTTTTTCTATTAACCTTTTACACTTAAATACAAACACTAAGCATCAATTTTGAATGCTTTTAATGATTTGTCTTTTGCAACCCATTAGACCAAATTAAACAAGCACTAAACAACCTTCAAGAGGGAGAAGAAGAACCATTTGAAAGCTAGCTATTGAACCAGTCATCATCATTCTGTGGTGGAGATTTTGTAATAGCGAAGATCTATTGCGGAGTAGTGAGTGACAGCGAAGCATCAACAACATGCGAACTGAATTCACGAGTGGCGAGGCATCGGATAATGGAGATTCGATGGTTCAAGTACGTCGCCAGTGTGACCTCGCCTGAGACTTCAAACGGACGAGAGCGTCAAAAACTAGAGCACGATAACGCCGTCGACAACAGTTCGTCGGATGGAGGAGAACAGTTTTTAGAATAGAAAAAACGAGAGATTGGAGACGAAAGAGAGCTCGATTTCAGATCACCCTGAGAATTTGTCGAGTCCGAGTTCGTCACTATTGTCTAGTTCAGCGAATCAGGAGGTGTATCCAAAGTTCGGTGTGGCGTCAGTTTGTGGTAGATGGAGAGACATGAAGGTTAATTGATTTAAGATAGTGAAATTTCTCTGTGATGTATGAGTGTAGGGTTGAAGGACATTAGACATCATTAAATAATATTGTGGATCTATTCAATTACTAAAAATAAGAGAGAGATTTTAGACTAATTTTTTTTTTTATATAAATCGACTGCAAAAAAGCATTTTAGCGTGAATGTAAGTGTGCATAAAATGTTTAAAATATAATTTTTTTATTAATTTTAATGACTAAAATATCAATTTTTCTATTGATTTTACAAAACAAAAATAGACAAATGTTTTAAATAAAAAATAAATTAAAACTTAAAATTAACAAAATTAAAAATTTCGTTTGGTTTGTATTTCTGAAAAAAATTTGAGAAATTTTCTCTACAAATAAGTTTTTAAAAGTAATCAAACCAAACAAATTTTCTCAAAAAAATTTCTCAAAACTTGTAAACCAAACAAGTTTTCCAAACAAATCTCTCTCTCACACACATCAAATCAATCATTTTTTTCAAAACTCTCTCTCAAAATAATTTTTCAAAACATCTTTTGAAAAAAACCAAACCAAACAACTTTTCGTACTTTTTATCTCTAAAACACATCTCTCAAACACAAACCAAACATACCCTAAGTTTTTTTTTTTTTTTTTTAACCCCACACACACACACAAAAGGATAAAACTCTGATATTTTTTCTAATAATTTTTTCCTAAATTTTAAAAAATAAATTCAAAATTTTCCGCCCTAACGCTCTCTCTCTCTCTCTCTCTCTCTCTAGAAACCCTAACTCGTTGCTCACTGCAACGATGCCAGCGATGTTCGATCCCACTCAGATCACCGACGTCTACGTCCGAGTCAGGCCAAGGTCTCCTTCTTCTTCCCCTCAATCTCTGTTTTTTTGGTATTTGGAAGATTTTCAAGTCATATTTTCAATATAACAACGTGGGATTGGAATTACAGTTGCATGAGAAATCAGGGGTTTTGTTTTGTTGATTAACTGTTTAGAATTTTTCTATTTTTGCATTATTTATTTAAATGCATTTATTCTTCAGTGCTGTAGATTGGAATTGAGTTGTGTTTATTTGAAAAATAGCTCTCTTGCTGATTATGCTTTTCAATTGCCCCATTTTTTCTTAATTGAACATTGGATCATTCCGTAGATACATACAAATAACCTCCCAAACTCTTAATCCTAACAGAAGAAATGAGCGCAAGTTCCTATCTTTAAGTCATTTTTGACTTACCAATTGGTAAGGGTTTGTTTGGCTTACACCTTCGAATCTAGCACTAGTCGCTTTTATGAAGAGTTTATGAGGAATGTATCGGATTACTATGAGATGTGAGCTAGTATTCAATAGAGTACAAGATGCAAATATGCATTGGTTGTAATATAAATTTTATTTACTCCAATGACTACTTATGGACATTGGTTGGCAGAGCAGTTTGCATTGTGATATTGTGGCACATACAGGCTATTATTACTCCCTCTGTCCCATTTTTTCTGTCCTTTTTGGAAAATTTCAACTTTTTTAGGGGACATAGAATAATGCATTGGAATTCAAATTCAAAGGCATTTTATTTCTAACAATTGTCCTTTTATTTTCCATTTTGAAATATGCTTATATATATGGGATAGTTTTAAAAATTTGCACAATGCTTCGACTTTTCAAAGTGGATAATCTTTTTAGCACATCCCTAAATGGAAAGATGAATAAACAAAATGGGATAGAGGGTGTATTAGTGTTACTCCCTTTGTCATATAGGTTATATTGTTTGTCTGTCTTTCCATTTTTGGTGTCCCAAAATGCTTGTTCATTTTGTAAAGTCAGAACATAAAACTTACGATTTTTCCAAAACTACCCTTTATAAATGATTATGAAAATAATTAATAGTGGGAATAAGAGGGCAATTTTGGAAATCAAGTGTCTTTTGATTTGAATTTGGAGCAATACTGGCATGTACCCTTGAAAAGTTGAAATTTCCAAAAGGGACAAACATTGTGTGACGGAGGGAGTATTTAATTACTTGAGCTCTAAAGTGTAATTGCAATTACTTAATTGTATTTATCCTTATGAAATTGGGGTGAAAGAAGCCAATTGGAGTTAAGAACTCAAGTAGGCCTAGAAGTCCTAATCCAAGCCTCAAAAGGATGGGATGTGTAATTACTTGCATATTTTCTTTAGTCTTCTAAATTGAGAGATTGAAAGCTTCTAGGGATCCCGTAGTCCCACTTTGGATTAAATTCCTACAGGATGTTGGATTGAAATCTTCAAGGCATTCAAGATCAAGATTCATTAAGAACTCATCAAGAAGAAATCAAGCTTTATCAATATTCAAGTGGGTTCTTGAAGATTAAAGCACTAAGATCAAGAACAAAACAAGAAACAATCAAGAATTAAGTTCTTGAACATGACTTGAAGATTGTCTCGTAAATTGGATTACAAATTTGTGAATACATATTGATCTTGACTTGAACAATATGATTGAATGAGATACGAGGTGGGTTTGGTATGAATTTGCCTTCCCCTACCCTGTTTAACTTTAAGAAATGTCACCCTATTCCCATCCAAACCCTGGAACTTGTGGGGTGAGACGGGGTAGGGTATAAAAAAAATTATAATCAAGGCGGGCTCCCCATTTGGTTTGTGACAAATATTTTATGTGCTTTTCATCAAGTACACTTGGCTTATTTGAACCAACATAGTATATGTGACTATTTTAACCTACATGGGCAACTCCTCATGGGAAGGAGCAATAAACCTACTTTGAATGCACTAAGCATACACAATTTCTTTTTATATATGTTAACTCATGTATCTAATGTTTTTCCAATGTCAGATAGATTCTTATACATTGTTAGTAAAGCTCTCACTTATCTTGGTATGTTGTCTCACATTGCTTAAACAATACATGAAATATAACTTCCTAGTGACAATACATGGAAGACAACTTCCTAGTTTATATGAAGTGTTCACTTTCTTTGGCACTTTGTCATACATAACTTATACAATATATGGGAGATAGTTTTCTAGTTTGCAAATAGCATAGTGTTAGTGTGAGTAGAGTTGTTCAACAATAATATATGTCTGTGTGTGTGTAAACAGGGTGGGTTATAATTGGGCAGGGTAACCATAACCAAACCGTGTCCCAAACCCTATACAAGTTGAGCCCTTAAGCTCCTTCCACATCTTACCTTGATTAGAAGAGTCCCATCTCCATATCATTAGGGGTAGATTGGGGTAAGGAACTTGATTAACCTACTCTGTGCATGTTTAAGTTGAGAATTAATATAAATAATAAAGTTCCCATTCTCTCTAACACTTAAGCTTTTAGATAAGTTGATGGATAACAATCAATTTGGTATTAGAGCAAGCAATAGATCATGTGTTCAGACCTCACCGCTTACTCAAGTCAATACTGAAAAAATACTTGCATGTGTTTGGCCATTGAGAGCCCGACCACATGTGAGGGGGCGTGTTTAGAATTAATATAAATAATAAGTTCTCTCTCTCTCTAAGAGCTTGAGTTTTTAGATGAGTTAGTGGATAACAATCAATATAGGCAAGTATGAAAAGGAACATGTGTGCCAAGTGCATTCAAGTGAAGTTGTTGCTCCTTTCCACAAAGAATCACTCATGTGACTTAAAATGATCATGTATACTCATGTTTGTATAGATTTTTGCTATTGATGATGATGAAAAGTTGATAAGATATTTATGTTACAATCCAGACAGTGAATTTGCCCCAGTTATAAATTTTTTTATGCCCCACCCACCAGTCTTGGGTTTGGGGCAGAGTCGGGGTAACATCTCTTACATATATTCCCTGATCATGCAAACATGCTAACCTTGGACTTGTTTGTTCTGGCAATAAATTTCTATCATTATATTATGCTGTTTTGTTGTGAGTGAATGCTCTGTGCTCATTTTACTTCCCTTTTTGGTGAAAGCCTTAGTGGGTTTCATAGGTGTTATTGATAGTATCGCGCTTTAATTCTGCTGGAGGTTCTTATTGGAGGACTTTGAAGTTGAATGTGCAGTTGGGCCGCTCAAGGCTTTGGAACTTTCTCAAGATAATGCAGTTGGATTGCAATCAATTTTCTGCATAAATTCACTATGTTACCTTTCAAGTTTTCGATCTTGACGACTTACAAGTTGCTAATTGAATTCACAAATGAATTAGTGAACCAATCTTTTGAAGTCCTTAGCACTGCAAACAGATGAAAGTTCAAATCTCTAACCTCACACTTGTTGGGTGTTTGAGGCTCTCTGTGTGTAATTTGTCTGAGTGGGGTCTTTGTTATTGCAAACTTAGCCAATTGACTATCTCTTTCCACGTTGTCTGCCAAACAGGACCAAAGTGCACTAACTGGTAAGCGGGTTGGAAGGGATGATCTCAACCTGGATATCATCGTTCAGGGTTAACTTTGCATTAAGCCTGGGTAAGGTTAAAACTTATCCTTTTCTATTTTTGGGAGACTTGGCTTTTTTGGTTCTGCTCATTTTCATTTTCATTTTCATTTTCATCTTCAGTGAACTTTTTTAAAAATTATGTCGAATTTCTTAACTTTTTAGATCCATCTCAACTATATGATCCTAATTTTTCTTTTTTAAATTCTTGAAATTTCTTTGAAAAAAGTTCAGAAAAAACATAAACAAGTCATTTTTGTTCTTTAGTGAACCTTTTTCAAAATCAACTCAAATTTTTTTTAATAAGTTTTTTAGATTTGTCTAGTTGAGACAACCTAAAAAGTATTAAATTATGGCACCTAGTTGAAAAAAGTTCGGAAAAGACAAAAATAAGTTTAAAAACAAGCTTTTTTTTAGTTCCAGCCAAATGAATTCATATTTTTCTGTAGTTACTTTCTGTGCACCCATGTGTTTTGTTTCTCTTTCTCCTCTATTCAATTTGGGCACTTAGTCGGTCCACCATGCAAATGAATCAAAAACTCTGCTTTTTTGTGTTGTCTTTTTGCTTAGGTTAGGTGTTCTACGTGGATTTGCTAAGTACCGTAAATTAGCTCCAGTTCATTCACTTTCAGCAACTAGTCGCTCTACCCCCCTCCACATGAATCCAAAATTCTGCCTTTTTGTGTTGTCTTTTGCTTAGGTGTTCTACGTGGATTCACCGAGTACCAGTAATTAGCTCCTGCTCGAAATCCTATATAAATCCTACCCTTTGGCCCTTTGCATTCAACCATTTCCACACTAATTTTTCTGAAAATCCTTGAGCAGTAGGTGCCTACCAAATCTCATCTTCTGTCTTCCCTTTCTTAACTTTTTCAGAGAGAAGAGAATTCAGTCTCCGTTTCTCATCTTTTCTAATGGCGAAGGAGATCATGCACGTGAAGGTGAAGTCTTGGATAGAGGTTGCATCATCACCTCTTCTTTTCCCTCGAAAGCCATCTAATTCTCCTAAACTCGAAACTATTAGGGAAGAGCGAGCTGAGGAGTGTGAAGATGATATAATGATTTGTGATGTTGGTTTGATCCTAGCTTTACCTTGTTTTTGTGTTTTTGTGGAGCGAGATTTACTTCTCAAAATATTCCGCAGCATAAAATATGTGATATTTTGGTACGAGTCATAGGTTGATTGTGAGTTGAATATGTTATGTATTTAGAATTTTTATCTGAAAAGTCTTTTCAAGAATTTGAACGCATTGTGTAGGTTTGTACTTGGTATAGTGTGAGCCATATATAAGATGAATTTGATTCCCGTATTAGAATTGTTGAAATACAAAAATTCCAAAATCTCCAGTTCTAGATTCTCGTCTTGATTAATGTTTGCAGCATGCCGAATATGGCCAGGTATTTCCAGTTTTGACGAAGATATTTGCGATAATATAGCAAAAAATAAAGTAATTTTTGTAATATTAGGCACCTAGACATTGTGCAATTTATTAACCAATGTCTTTAGAACTTTTGTTTACGAATTTTTTAAGGGCATCTGTCAATAAACTTGAAATTGTTGAAATTTTCATAAAAAAACGTATTGTAAAACATGTAACATTTGTCTTGCGAACATTTGTTAGCAAATTTGTAGTTGTAATTCAAAATATAAAAAAAACATAAAGAGAAAATTGCTTAAACGTACACTCTAGCAATTGTCTAAGGTATTAAGTCCAGTGGATAATTTTTGTGGGGGTGGCAAGTCCTTTTTTTTGTTTTGAAAGATATTTTGTTACCAATTTTATCCTTTAATTTATCTGTTGATTTTTTTTTATTTGTTGACTTTTTTTTACTATTTGTTCAAATTTATATTTATTTATTTGAAAACTAATAATTTTTATATGTTCAAATTTATATCTATCTAATCAAATATTTTGCTTATTTGTTCAATTTTTTTCCCTTATCTATTCAAAATTTTGTTATCTGTTGAAATTTAGCACCTGATTTGTTGATTTTTTGCATCTCTCTTTTCGCACACTCTCTCTCTCTACCTATTGAAATTCTCATTTTAACTTATCTATCTGTTGGAATATCTATTGGCTAAAATTTCTTAGTTGTTCAAATATCTATCTAAATTTTATTATCTGTTCAAAATTTTTATTTGTTTAAAATTTTTTATCTATTCAAATTTTGAACAGCCTATTTAAATCCTATTAGCTGTTCAAAATTTGAACAGATCTGTCCTGCTATTTGTCATTTTTTTCCCCAATTTGTTGCAATATGTTTATTTCTTCATCATCATCATCAACAATAACAACATAGATTTGAGCCAAGAACAAAAGAAGTACAAAAAAAAAAAAGAGCTCTCTGTTTTTGCATTCTCGCTTTGATTTTGTTTATTCAATTTTTGCCCTCATATTTTATATTCAGATCTGTGAGATGAAAAAAAAAAAAAAAAAAAAAAAAAAAAAGAAGCTCTCTACATTCTCTCTCTCTCTAGAATTCAATTTGATTGGAAATGGAGATCTCATTGTGAGAACACATAGATGACTATACAAACGAGATATGAGATTATACAGATCATGTATACAGAAAGAGAGATGGGTGTTTTTGCTGGGTTAGAGTTTCACCTTTTCTCGAATGGGAGGGCGGTTTCAAAGCTAATCGTGAGAGAAGTACATGATATCATAGACAGTTTTCAGAGCACTATCTCTATTTCTATTGGATGGATTAGGGCTTCGATTTTGTCGTTGCTAAACCTGCACAACTTGCAGACAACGAAGAAGGTCAAAGAAAAAGAAGATGAAGGAGCACAACGGGAGCGCAGCGGAGGAGAAGCGACAGTAAAGAGAGAAAGAGTTTGGGGAGGGACTTACGTTCACAGGTGATATACCTAAAGTTCTTGTCCTCGATGCTGTGAGACGATGGATCAGAATCAGACTTAGACATGGTTAATCAAACCCCTAATTCTCACTCTTTCTCTAATCTATTCGTCTAATGATCAATATGTATCGAAATCACAAGATTGAAGTGCTTTTTGTGAGAGAGAGAGAGAGAGAGATTGTTTGGGAAATAAGAGATAGGGTTATGCCATGTATATGATATTAATAGGAGTGTTTTGATCATTTTGTATAAACTTGTTAGTGTCTGAATTTTTGGCCAAATAAAATTGAAAATTAGATTTATGGACCGAATACCCAAAAATAATGACAGTCAAAAAGAATTTACAATTATTTTAAATTTTGTTAATTAATATTTTTTTTAATATCTAGACATTCAATTACGGGAGTGAGTGTTGTATCCCACGCTACAACTTTTACTTGCACCAAACCGCTTGCACCAATTGTAATTATTTTGCTAACTTATCACTAATTTGCAACTCCTCACAAATTTATGCTCCTTTTATCACCTGTTGACAATTCTTGTGACTCTTGAGGTGCGAACATGTGAAACCCTAGAAGCCCACAACTACTCAAGACATGGACATATTGTGCAAATGATAAATGGGCGGGCCTCCGTCTCTCTTTCTCCCATGCATGTTAGTAGTGTGGATTATAATAAGTATTATATACACACTAACTATTCGATAACAGAGTATTTTAGGTTTTTTGTTCACATTTGTGAGTTGTGTTTATTCTAATTTTTATGTATATTTAGTAGAAAGGAAATGACTATTTTTGTATTTCTTGTAACATTTTTTTTTTTATAATAGAATTGTAGTGATCGTGAATGTAATCCTAAAGTTAAAATGAATAACTTAAATTTTATATTTTTGTTTATATGTATTATTATTATTATTATTTTTGTTCGTATTTCATCATCAATTTTGATTAGGTATTACGATTTTTTAGCCATATAGGGGGTGTTTGGGAATCTAGATTTGGGTTAAAATAGCCTCAAAAATAATTTTAGCCTAAAAACTTCTAAACCAAAATTTTTTTTTAAAAAAAATAAAAAAAAATAGGCCGGCAGTGGCTGTCACTGTGACAGTCCTACCACTGTCACAGTGACAGGTAGCTAAATTACAATTTTACCCTTTCAAATTAATTTTGGAAAATGTGAAGTTGGGGACAAATTTGTCGTTTTAACTTCAAACATTATTTCAACATATTTTTTAATACACCAATTCAAATAAAAATCAATCATATCTTCTCAAACACAAAAATTAAATTAACCTACTAAAATAATCAAAAAATTATATTTTTTTTAAAATAACCACTCCCCAAACACCAGATAGTGTGTCACAACCCTCCCACATGGATAAGGAACCAAGTGGAAAAAGGAAGAGGTGTGCATTGATTTCAGCTGCAGCATGCTTTGCACCTTTGCAATCATGTCTACCCATTATATAATTGCACACACATCAAACATGCATATACATATAATATATGCTTTGGCCAAATTTAAATGCTTGTGGACATTGCTGACCCTTTAAGCTAAGTAACCCTAGTTGCTTCTTCCATCTACGTTTCTTCCCCTATGAAATGGACAGAAACATTAACAATGGTGTTATACATACTAATTACTATATTAATTAGTATATCAGTACATATTATAGTAATGTAATTTTAAAATTATTAACTTCACCCATTACACAAACAACGAAGATTCAAAATCAATAAAATTATATCATATTATCTGTTAGTATATTAATTGGTGCCTATTATTTTATTCAAACACTAATTACCATAGCATTCATGAATGGGACACCTAATGATTCATTAATGTAATTAATTAAAGAACATACTTGTTTTTATGTGTGCACCTATGACATATAGGTAACAGTAATTTCTAATTACCATGAAAAGTAAATTAAAGTTTTATCTTAAAAATGATGTGTAAGTAGTAAAATTAAACTTAGTATGTTGTCTCAAAACGACGTCGTTTTGGCCATTTGAACCACTTTTGAGCCACAAAATTTGAGTTACGTAGCATTGTCGATTGCTAATCACTTGTGCTCTTACCCAAATGCCTTCTTAGTTAAGGACTTGTTTGGAAACTTATTTTTTTAGTGATTTTTTTAATTTTTTGATTAAAATTTGTAATGAAAAAAATTAATACGTTTGGTATGACTTTTCATTTTATTTTTATAAAATAATGTGTAAAATTTTTTGACTTTATTAATATTTTTTTTAATTTCTACACTTTTTTGATGAATTGTCAAACCACGCTTAAATGTCGTAGATTATACCTTGTGATTCTTATTCTATATTATGTAACTTCTATATTATGTAACTGGGATTACATTAGGGACAGAGATTCACTGACCACTAACATATGTATATGTAAAAATAATTTACAAACATAATTTTTGTGCAAAAAATTTATGCAGAATTATGTAGTAATGATTTTTTTTTATGTTTGAATTTATTTTTATAAAATATTTTAAAATTTAAAAAATTAAAATCGTAATATTTTGAAATTAAAATATTTAAAAATATTCAAAAAAAAAAAATCGTAACATATTTAAATATTAAAATATTTAAAATTTAACAAAATTAAAATATTAATTTGAATTGAGTTTTGAAAAGAGTTTTGAATTATGTATTTGGTTATGAGTTTTGAATTGAGTTTTGAAAAATAGGTGTAAAATTATGATTTGAAAACTGAAAACAAATAACACACTCAAATCAATGGGTGGAACAAATAATCATTTTATTCTACTTTATTCTAGTCAATCAAATGTTGTAGTGTTTGGAGAAGTCGGTAAAGCTAGTTTTTTTGACTTTTTTAATCTATTTTGTCTTTTTATAAATAAAAAATATGAAAAATAATATACTCAAAATGAATAAAAAATTAAAAATTAACTTTTTATTTGCTTCCCAAAACACTAATTTATACATGCATTCGAGCGTGGATTAATTTAAAGAACATATCATTCTACTCCAACTCCCCACCCTTTTCCATTCACAAGGCACTCAAGTATGCAGAGCATGGTATATTATTTGAGAGACGCATAATAATGAGCTTATGCAAAAGCATTAAATTACCATTATACCCTTATTGGCTTCAATAGTTTCACACTGCAGTTCCTACATGGCGTAAGCAAATGACCAAACTGAAAGTGAAAAATGACCCAAGTACCCATTTTTTATTATAAAGAATATGGCAAACATTTAGGCCTCGTTTGGAAACAAGCTAATTTAGTAACTTTTTGGCTATTTAGCTAAAAAGGTAGGTAAAAAAAACTTGTATGTTTTGAATGACTTTTTGGCTAATTACGAAAAGATGTGCAAAAAGTAGAGAGAAAAGAGAATCTTTGACTTTTTGGTATGGGTTGTTGGCTTTTTGGCTAATTTAGTAACTTTTTGGCTAATTGGCTAAAATAGCCTCTTGCCAAACGAGGCCTTATATTAATAAATAACATACATAAATAAGATTTAAAGGCCATTCCAATCAAACACCAAAAAAAAAAAAAACTGCCAAAAAAATCAGCTTTGATTCAAGAAAAATCACTGATTTTCTAAAAAATGTGGTCTGGAAAGCAAGATCTGTATCAAACCAAGCAAGATCTGCTTGAAAACTCATCATCTCCATTGACATCATCCTTGTCACCACTGCCCAACTCCGCTACTGCCGCCATCGAACTTCGGACACCGCTAGAAGTTAAAGCTGAGAAAGAAGTACACCCACAATGGTATGAGAAAAGGCTTGAGAGATGAGAAAACCATTGAGAATGTCAAAAATCTAAAAATGTATGTCGAAATCGGAGGAGAAAAATCTCGAAACCCCTATTTCAGACATAAAAAGTCTAGATTTGCACTTTAAAACTGCAGACCTACTCTAGAAATGTAGACGGGTCGCTGGAGTGTGGCTAGAACACACCGTCGGAAATCGCCTAAATAGAGAGACTCTACTCTCTGTCTCTAGAACTATGACCCAAGTACTAAGAGACGAGAAAAAAGAAAAATGGAAAACCCCATTTTAATTTAAACGGGTTACTTAGGGATTGAATTGAGTCATGGAATGGGTAAAAATTTTGAAGTTCGGATTTAATTGATATATGTCATTTACAAGTGATTACGTCTATATCTGATGAGAGTAGTTACAACACTAAAACCCTGAGTTATCACCGTTAAAAAAGGAAAAATCATTTCATGTGGAACCACTTTAATCTGTTGAATCTTTCCAATGGAAAAAGGTGTGTATCAAAAGTATACAAAGGTTGTCGGACATATTGTGAGGGGTAGTTTTAGGAGACCACTATTTTTTATCAAAAGATGGCATGGAACACCATTCTCATCATTTTGTTCCCTCTCAAACAGTCTTGAAAGATAACCAAAATTTCACTCCAAGCAACCACCACTCCCTAAACTCCCCTATAAAAACCCCATTTTCAAAACCATCCAAAAACACACCAAACACTACCACAACTTTCAACTTAAAGAGAAATCACTTAGCAAACAATCAACATGACACCAAAGGCCTCTGTCCTCACCTTGGCTCTTCTCTCTCTACTGTCCATCACTAGAGCTCAAGACAGAGCTCCCCATGGGCTTGTCTATGAGAGCCCCATGGCTTTCTCGCCATCGGCATTCGATTTCTTCCACCCAAACACCAAACACAAGAGCACTCAAGACCCGTGCGCTGCATCAAATTGCTCACCATGGCCTCTGGCGGCTACGGTGGCGTCGACTCTGGGACACCAAAGTGTGTCGACACCCACGTCGGGGAGGAGCGGGGTGGGGGCCGGTGGCATTGCCGGTATTGTGTTTGGTTTTGTATGTGTTGTGGTTTTGGCAATGGGTGTCTACTATATGGCGGTCACACGTCGGGCCAACTCGAGTCGAACTAATTCTGTCCAACCTGATGCTTGATATATATATATATATACACGTAGATGTGATCACCTTGACTGTTTCCAAGCATCATAACTAGAATGAGCCTTTTGAATGCAACATTGGAGTTGCTGCTTCTTCCTCTTCTTCTCCTCTCTGTTTTCTTGTATTTTGGATATGCACTGTACCTATGTATGATCCTTATTAGTGCTAAGTTATATGGAATTTTGGACTCATAATTATTGGCAGATTGATTCACCAAATATTTCCTCTACTTTTTTTTTCTTCTCTTCTTTTTGTGTGTGGAAATTAGTTCCTTTTTGGTTATTAGGATAACTCTTGGGTGTACCTTAATTAGAAGCAGTGAAGGGACTTGAGGTAGGGAAAAGGTGACAAAGCAATATTGGCAATTATCAGGAAAGGAGTGTGGTGACTGGCCTACAAAAAACAAAGGTGGAAATCTAAAAATCCACATGCCAAGTCTGAAACCCCATTAACCTTGGGTTTCAAATTGTTCATGTTTAATTTAAAATTTTAACCTCCAAGTAAATGTTTTAAGCATAATATTGTTCCAAGTTTAATTTAAATTTTAACCAAAAAATTATGGTAGCGTTTGGTTTGTATTTAGAATTATGGTTTGAATGTGAAGTTGTACTTTGAGTATGTGAGTTTTGAAATTATGATTTGAAAAGAAAAAAATTGTTTGGTTGTAAATTTTGAAAAGAGTTTTGAATTATAATTTGAATTAAGTGTTGCATTTTTAAAATGAGTGTTGAGTTTGTGAAAAATTGCTTGGTTATAAATTTTAAAAAGAATTTTCAAAATTTAATTTAAAAACTTATAACTCATGACCAAACAGATAACTTAAAACTCTATTGAAAATTCTATTCAAAACTCATAATTAAACTCTATTTAAAATTCAATTAAAAAAGATACTTTTTCAAAAAAAAAAAAATTATTTTTTATTTTTTTAAAATTATTGTGACAAATTAATTTTTATTTAAAATTTTTTTTGTTAATTTAAATAAATAGCCAAATAATTTATCATTTTAGTCTAAAAAAAATAATTTCTATATTTAAAAAATATTAAAAACAAATATATTTGTTTTTTTCAAATAACATATGACAATTTAAAAAAAAAAAAAAAACATTGTTCCAGTAAATCGGCCGGACGGCTAAGAGGATGACCAGGCATCAAAAACTCTCTGAAAAAATCTCTATAACCAAACATGTTTTGAAATGTGATTTGGAATCATGTCTTGAAAATTATAACCAAACAAAGCACTGAAATATGGGGGTGGAATCATGATTCCAAACACATACCAAACACAGCATAATTTTTTTATTATTTGATCTTAAATGAATTTTAATAGCCAACCATTGCCCGAACTTTAGTAGATTGGTTTTTATACAGTTACATAATACATAAAACTTAATTTAACCTAGTTTAGAAAATTAACAAGTTTCAAAATGTATGTAAACTTGTTAACATAATAACTCGATCTCTAGTGAACTTTTATCGAGTCAAACAGGGATTGAGCTCGAGTAACTTCAACTCAGCTGGTCATCCAAATATTAATTACTCGAATGAAGTATATATAATCCCGAAGTCTCTCAATAAAGTTGGACTAAACACCAAAGAATTGACTGAGATTTCAAATGCTACGATCTGTTTGGTAATATTTATGCTTTCAATTTATATTTACAAAAATTTTATAAATTGGTTTTTGTTTATTTTTAAAAAAACATAAACTACAAACGCGTTTGGTAATTGACAAAATGTTTAAAAAAAATTTAAAATATAAAAAAGAGTGAGAAATAGCAAGTGGTGGCAAGTGACGGCGGAAGACAGTAGTGGAAAGTGGTGGTGGTGGGTGGTGGGTAGCGAGTGGTGGCGGGTGGTGGCGGGTGAGTGGTGGTGGTGGTAGGTGAGTGGGTGACGGTGGCAGGTGGTAGCAAGTGGGTGGTGGATGGTGGGTGGTGGGTGGTTGAGTGGGAGTTTGCATTGCATACTCATCCAATTAATTACTATGCATCGTGTATTTAGATTGGAAACTTTTTACTTCAACAAAGGAATATCTATGGTAATTGAACATAACGAAATTGTGTGTGGGGTAAATACATTAGTAAGTCCAGTTAGGAGGTGTAAATGAATTGCTAAGTTGATAATTACATATCTACCATCATGCAAGAGGGTCCAAATAAGTGTCCAAGTGCTCGAACCATAGTGCATGAGAAATGGGAAGTAAACACGATAATTACATATCTGCCATCATGCAAGAGAATCTGAATAATTGTCTGAGTGTTCGAACCGTAATGCATGGGAAATGTTTAGGGCCTGTTTGGTAACGTTTACGTTTTCAGTTTATATTTACAAAAATTTTATAAACTGGTTTCTGTTTATTTTTTGTTTATTTTAGAAAAACATAAACTACAAAAGCGTTTGGTTAAGACAAAATATTTTAAAAAAATTTAAAATATAAAAAAGAGTGAGCAATGGCAAGTGGTGGCAGGTGGTGGGTGAGGATGAGTGGTGGCGACGGAAGACGATGGTGGAAAATAATTGTGGGTGGTGGTGGCAGAAGGCGGTGGTAGAAAATGGTGGCGGGTGGTGGCTAGTGTTGGGGGGTAAAAAAAAAACTCAAAACTCAAAACAGAAACACATTTTTTGAGTTTACATTTTTTGGTCAAATTTATAAACTGAGACCACTGATTTATAAATCAAAAATTTATCAAACAAATTTTTATTTGAGTTTTTAAAATTTTTGTAAATATAAACAGAAAACTGAAAACGTAAGTGTTACCAAACGGCACCTGCTAAATTGTAACAACAGGAAGGAAAGCCTAGATGTCCGATTTAAAAAAAAAAACACACACACAGACATACACACACAATTTATCAGTAAACTCAGCCTTCATTTGGGAAGTGGGTTGGCTTTTTGACTTTTTTGACTATATGAGCCTGGGCTCAAAAGCTTAGTTTGGGAAGAACTTTTGACTTTTTGACTTTTTTGATTTTTTTGTGAGAGAAGAGTATAATGATTATGGGGTTGAATGGGATGTTTTGTCTGTTGTGACTCATGAGCCTATTCTGTCTTTTATGGCTCATTGAGCCAAAAAAGCCCAATGAGCCCTTGCCAAACCAATATGCATGAAAATTGTCTCAGTGGATTCAAAACCACTAGAGTAAGAGCCTAATGACCAAGCCAGGGATAGATTAACAGAAGTTCAAGCGCTGAACGATAATTTCAGCTGAGATGATCTTGGCAAATATTTCTGCAGGAAGTTGAATTGTAGAAAGAGATAGTAAAGCTTCAGTTGGAGCATATTCTACCCGACTCAAATAACAACGAAATGGTTTGTGTACTAGGAATATTATGTGGCATTTATATATACATCTAAAAATATAAAATGTAAGTTTCGTATGTTATCAAAGTCTAGAATTACTAGAACATATACGATTGCTTTTGGTCCAACGAATCAAAATCTTTACTCAAACGGTCTTAAATGAAACATCAACAGTGAAATGGTTAATTTCTAACAAAGCTCACAAATACGTTATATAAATCAGATCAGAAGTAGAAAGATACATTTGGGTACAACCCATTGCACTTAAAAAATTCAGAAATGGACAGGAACACATACATACATCAGTAGTAGTTTTACTCTTGAACATTTCTACCACCCACGTGAGCTAAGGGACTCGATTACTGGTCCCAATGTCTGGTCTACAGCTTTGTTCCACAAGTGTGCAATGTCCAAACAAGATCTCTTTTCAAAAATAGGCTCTCCCATCTGAAAGAAGTTCAAAGCATAAATTTTTAGGATCTAATAGAATGCAGAGAAAACATGGAATTTATGTTTGAATGAAAATGATACAAGAGAGCTGGTTCTCTAGTTATCTTATAGTTTGCATTCACATCAATTTATGCATCTTCCCAGATAATTCACATTTTCATGGTAACGTTGCTTCAGGAACACAAGAAAACATGCATCACATAAACCATACATCAAAATCTACAGACAGAATCCAACACCAAAAGTCTAACAAAATCAATGTCTACAGATCTATTTGAATGATTTGGTGTTAGTTTTCACAGATAATCAGTTGTTTTAGATAGATGGGCTTCCACTAGTTAGAAAATAGAAAGAGGACATACATATTTTTATTTATGTCCATCCCTGCAACCTTTAGTGATCCTAGATACTATGTTAAAAATAATTTGCTCTTTTTGTCTTCCATGGAAAAGTCAGACTGGTGAAATTACTAGAGAAGTATAAATTACTGTATCTCTTGGTCTCTTGGGCAATGGCTCACCAAGTACCATTTTCTTTTGTTCTTTTTCCTTTGGTAGAAATGCACCAACACCTTGGCATCAAAAAGAATATTAAATTAACTATGTGACACACATTTTGATAACAAATGGACCGATGATTAACTATATTACACCTTTGTTGGCAACCCATACCCTTTTCTTACCTTTATAATGAGAGAGATTTGCAGCCTCCACTTCCATGTTTCGGAGTAAAGTAGTCCTAAACACTCTAACCTTCCTCTCAAAAGGTTGCTCATTGAGGTTCACAATAAATATAAACTAAACGGTGCCTACTTTACTGTCTCTGAAATTGGCTATAGTGGTTTGCACATCTAAAGAAGTACTATGTTAAACATTTAAAACATAAGCAAAAACACAAGAAAAATATTCATTTTGCTTACTTCTTTAGCTACTTATTCTTGAAAGACATTGAAGAAGACAAAGAAGATGTTTGTGTCTATCCACCAAATGTTCATCCAAATCTAAAGGTGATAAAACACAGACAAACTATTCTTCAAAGCAATTTGACATTGGCTACAATCAAGGTTTTGAAAAGCGATTGCGGTCGGCGTAACGGTGGCAGTGACGCGGTTGCGGTTGCGGAGTGTAAAGGCCGTAGTGTAACAGTTGCGGTAACCGGAACCGTGAATATTTTTATTTTTTACACAATTTGAAAAAAACTTACCGATACACATATTTTTTTTCCATAATCATATTTATTGGGTTAAAAATAATATTGATCAATTTTTGTAAATTTTTAAGTATGATCCAATATATTTCATATTTTTAAATCACTATAAATTGAGTTTTTTACATTTTATTTTAATAATTAATAACTTTATATTATACAAAAAATCAACCACTAACTATTATATATAAGATAAACAATGACAAAAGTAAAAGAATAAATAAGAGCCTAAAGATATATATATATATACACATATTTTAACCAAGCCAAATAGATAATGACCACACTTATTATTATTATTATTTTCAAACAATATATAGATAGGCACACACAAACAAAATAGTTTAGTGATAGCAGCTGAATAGAATAGCATAGATTTTATAATTTCAACAAATCAATAGCATGTTCTTCATCTTCTCTCTTCTCTCTCTATTTCTTGCTCCTCCATTCTCTCTTTATCTTCCCTCTTCTCTCTATCCCTCTTCCCCCATTTTCAGCTTTTTTTTGTGTGTTTTTTCAAAAGAAACAGTTTGGAACCATTACGTAACGGTGCGTAACAGGCCATTACAGCTGTTACGGCACCGTTACGACCGCTACAGCAGCCGCTACGGCCGACACACCTGTGAATCTTAATCACACTGCAAAAGCGGCCGTAACGGGTGGCGGTAACCGCCAAAACCGTTACATAACGGCGTTACGCAACAGTTGCGGCTGCTTTTTAAAACCTTGGCTACAATTAATATCAGGCCTGAATAAACACTCGGCTCAATGGTGGAAGGTGCAAAACTTTATTTTAAAATAGATTTCTGCAATTTTCAGCAAACATGGCTCAAAAACCACGAGCTGTGAAGCTAAAACCAAGCCCCAATATGAAGAGAGAAGAAGAATAGCAAAGAAATCCCAAATCTGAATTGTATTCACCAAAATCTTATCTCCAAATCTCCATTACATGTGCATATAAATAGTTTTATCTAACTTGGTCTCCAAGCATGATATCCTAGAAAACTCTCCTAACTTTTATGCTCAAGTAACCCTAATATGGCAATTATTTCAACCCTATAAACCCTAAAATTTAAAGCATGATATCCTAGAAAACTTTCCTAACTTTTATGTTCAAGTAACCCTAACATAGCAATTATTTAAACCCTATAAACCCTAAAATTTAAATATCCTAAATTATAATTAATCAATCTTTTTTTTCTTTTTTTCCCTTTCCCCTAGAAGCCCACTGAATCATCCTTCATCCGAAAAAAGATCTAGGGCACATCACAATTTAATAAGATAGAGAATATAAGTTGACATTTGCCACAACGGACTGCACATCTTAGACTCCAGCAATAGAGTGGAGCAAAGCAACTAGCAAAAAAGGGTGAGGTTTTAAGAGTCGAATCCCATAAGCAACATAAATAAAGAAGAGGGCTTACCGGTGGAGAAAATGGTGACATGTGGGGTAAGTTCTGGTAGCAAACTAGTCTAAACAGTAGCACCAAAAATACATAGAGATTATACAGTAGGTGATGTGGTGACATCAATATGATGGCGAGGATGATGATACTAATGGTCCACTGATGACATAGTCACACAGTGATATTAATTGAGCAACAAAGAAAAGCTTAAAATTACTACATTATTATTGGCTTTTTGGCTTTCGAAGGTTATTATTGTAATTGCGAGCGTGCCAGCAAGGATCAATCAGTCCTTACAGAAATTTAATTACCAACCAATTATCAGACGATTGTGTTTTAGTTCTCTCAGCCTCAATGAAGAGGACTTTTACTGGTGGCTTGATTTAGGAGAATTAAGCAAAATATCAATCAAATAAAGAACAACTGAAGCATTTCATTAGAATGAAAAACTTACAATGATTCAAACTCAATCTCGTAGAGGTTTACAGCGACAATCTATTTGAAACTACTCCTATGAATGAAGTGCAGTGCAGAATTTAAAATACTGGAATGTAAAGAACAGGAAATGTAAAACTAAGTAAAGTAGAATAAGACTGATTTTTTGGATCTGAGTCTGGGGGCTTTTTCTGGGGCCTTCTCTGCTATTTATACTGTTCGAGGATGACCATTGAATTGCATTTCCAACCGTCGAACTGTTCCTCCATGATCGCTGATCGTGTTGCCCCAATATTAGCTCCATTACGCCATTACTCGCAATTAAGCTTCCCTCCTAAATTTGAATTTGAAATGCTAGTAACCGTTGAAACCACATCACCTTGCATCTCTTTATTGATCCACTGCTACTCAGATCTCGTAATAACCAATACTAACTGCCACGTGTATGATCAGGATCGAAGACTTGAATAGTCTTCCTATATCACCCTTATTTTGCCACGCGTCGAATTATAATTGGCTTGTACAAAATATGTAGCCAACAATTATGTACTACCATGGCAAAGCAAAAAACACAACCAGTTCATATTTTTGCTTTATTTCAACCGATTCCTTCTAAGGTTGCATCTAAGGGACTCATTCATTTTCATCAATATTTTTTTTTTTCTCCTTTACATAAATTTTCTAAATCTCACTGAACTTTCTATTAGCAAAGAGAAGCATCATGCATTAACATTGGTAATCCTTAATCTTCAGAACTCAGACCCCCACATACTCTTTCCCTTCCTAATTCGCTTTGTTTCCTCAACACCCTATTCCTCAAAAAATTGGTCAAACAAACATTGAAATCACAATCTTAACTTGAAACCAATTAGTTAAATTTCTTGGAAGGTCACCAATAGAAATACCAGCCATGTTGGCAAAATTGTAACGGGTCTAAGCATCAACACAAGACTCCGACAAATCACCATCATACTTTGGAAAGAAATAAGCTATCAATCAACTATAATAAAATTAACGATATATATATATATATATTCCTTTGGTTTTTATGGTTTTTAAAACTCTAGAATGAGAATCGAAAAATACTCGCTAATCATCATCAATCACTATTGGGATTGCCACTTTTTTTATTATTATTATTATTTTGCTCATTCCAAATCAGGCAATTAAAAATAAAAAATAAAATAAAAATTCAAACGAAGAAAGGCCTAAATTGGATAAAGTATTTACAACACAAATCAGAGAGATTAGCGAGAGTATTTATTATTATCGATTATCATCATATCCTAGGGTTTCGAAAACGAAAAGAGGATGTGAAAATTTACCTGAGAATGAGTAGTGAATTGAGATTGGGTGTCTGAAATTGATTTGTAGATGCGTCTGCGTTGCTCCAACACAACGATCCCCGTGAACACACTTCCCAGTGCGGCGCCAAGTAGACGCTCCTGCGTACAATACGCATCATCGTATATATATATATATATAGAGAGAGAGAGAGAGAGAGACAGAGAGAGAGAGAATGGTGTAATCAAAAGAAGTGAAACCTGAGCAAGAACGCTGATCATGGCTTCTTCGCCTCTTCCGAAGGGTCTGTAACTGTAACGGAGCTCTGGAGAAGGTCTATTGTTCGTCGTTTTAACGCATTACACGGACTTGAAAAGTTCAAAATTAAAATAAAATAAAATTACATGTGAGGTTTGTAAAAAAAAAAAAAAAATCATAAAAATATTATGATAGTAGTATTGTTATAACTATAAATCATATTTATAAGTATTTTATTTTAAAATAAAATGTCACCATTAAATTATATCAAAATTTTATGTAAAATTTATATTTGGATAGTATCACTCAATAAGAATATGTTCAGTTAAAACTTAATAATGAAAAATTAGAAAATATAGTTATGATGATAGAAATAAGAAATGGTAGAAAAAATGACAAGATAGTCATTTAGAAAATTTTAAGACATAGCATCAATAATCTAGAAAGACAATTTGTAATGAGATTATAAACGTTAGGGAGGGAAATGTAATTTTTCATGTGAGGGAGAAATCTGTATTAAACAAAAACCTTAGGGGGTTATAATAAAATATATTGTGAATTTTTAATTTGGTAAATTACACTTACACTCCCTGAAATTTAGGTTTAATATATATCACCTATGATATTTGGGAAATTACACTAATCCTTTGTTATTGTAATTATTTAACTGGAATGAATATATTGAACTCATGCATTCTTTATTTTCTTATTTTACTTTACTTCTTTTTTTTCTTTTTTCCCCCTTTTTCTTTGCTTTATTTATTTATTTTAATGTAATTTTATCTATTTTTCTATTAGGATTTGTTGTCTTTTATATAAGCAGGTGGGTTTGTGAAAATGAGACTATTAACCACAGAAATGGAAATCTAATTTCTAGAATGTCAGAGAGTAAGATGTAATTAGACCAAATCTCAGAGGTGCCAGTGAAATTTACCTTTTTAATTTTATCGATTTAAATATAGACGCTCAAGCTAAAAATCTAAATTTGAATATTCTTTGTCAGTAGGTTCAGACGCTAAAATATTTTGTTCGGAAGGACAAATTAGTGTAAAAATACCAAATTAGCCAGGTATATATAGGTTATATGGTTATTACCAAACCCCAATTTTCAACATTTTCCTCTCCTTACTCTTTCTCTCTTTCTATCTCAATGTTGTAGCACTGTTGCTAAATTTGTCCCTAAATCTGTCACTCGCCTCGCCGTCGCTCTTCTCCCTCCCACGTTGACGTCTCCTCCTCCACCACCACCTTAACTTCTGCGACCACCTCCGTAGTTGTCCACTCTCTCTCTCTCTCTCTCTCTCTCTCTCTCTCTC